AGTCGCTCGGGGCGGCTCTAGCGCCAAGGGTATCATTCCCAGCCCTCTGGCATACGTATTCCGGAAGTTTTGGCAAGCGTGGGTGGACGGGCCTTGCCAGTCTACGTACAGGGCACGGCACCGCTTGACCAAGCTCGATTTCGAATATCTTCAGCTCGGATAGGGGGGTTGACGCGGCAAGAGCGACTCATATTCCGGTGGAAACTGCAACGTGGCACTGGTTTTTCATGTCACTCCCGCATGCAACACAAACTTCCCATTCGGGTCCAAGTCTGTGCGATGTCGAAACCCGACAGAGTCTCTCACGCGACAGGGCAACACGGTCGGTTACGATTCTTGACTTTGTATGATTTTTGACCCACGTCAACTCGTCTTCTACCGATTGCGCTGGCCCACATACTCTACGCTAGTTTCGAGATCTTGGGGGTTGGAAAGGTGGCTAGCATGCAGGTTTGACGGCTGGCTAAACCCTGCCCAAGATGGTGCAGCTAGCAACAGAGGACACAATGCGTTCGACCTGGATGTGGTAGATTCCTGCGCGTAATTCCTATTCTAACGGCGCTGCTTGGTACCTTCGAAGTGGCTTGTACACGTGGTTGACGTGCATGATCATATGCTTGTCGAGAGAGACCTCCCGACAACACTTCGTATGCTGTTTCAATTTCCTGGAATATCTGGGCCGCGTCGGGACTCGAGTTCTTGTCCAGGTGGAATTGCAATGACGGTGTCCTATATGTCCGTCGGACGTCCGCCGTTGTCGCGGTCGTTTCTTGTCCTCGCAAGCCAAGAATGTCGTAGCACTCACGGCGGCCACAGTACAAGTTTTGTGCATAGCTCTGTGCATAGGTTGAAACGATGAGGAGCAGGAGCCCCAGCAAAACGAACGCGCCACAGCGCCGCCGACACGTCTCACGATGTGAAAAGGGAGGGTCGACGGATGCATTGAAATCGGAGCTATCATCAATTTTTCTCAAGGAAAATGTATAGAATACTGCAAATTAAAAAACAAGGTGGAATCCGGATGCATCCGCACAATCCACGACAGGGGGCAATGGTCAGGAAGAAGGGAGTTCTCTCTATAAGTTAACGTTTCTTGCTAGTGAAGGGAGTCTATAGTCCAGGAGGACGGATGACCGCAGCAGCTTGGGGGTCGGGGTTGAACACCGGAAACCGTAGGGACGCAACTTCGGTTTGCAGATTCAGGTTGAGTTTACGCAGCACGTGGTTTTCATGGTGTACTTGCTCGAGTCGCGCTAGTGGACCGCAAGTCAGAACGCACAAGCCTTTCAGTGCCAGAAACGAGTGCACGACCAAGAGCTTGGGCCAAGAGTTCGCGGAGCTGCCGATTCTCCATCTACGCCAAGATGAATCATCAACCTCACTTTGTCTGTCGACCGCCGTACCTGGCCATTGCAGGTGCCAGTGACCAGCGACTCGGCAGTTT